GGCATTCCATAGTTGTTTCTATTTATATTTTCAAATGTTACTAGAGTGTTCGTTTGTTTTGTTTCTTGAAATGTCATGTTTTAAAAGTAAATCTTTGATTGCATTTTATTGATAAAAAATCTATATTTCATAAAGAGAAGTATACGACTTACATAAGGATTTATATTTGTAATAACGAGAATTTACAATAACTTGACAGGGTCACAAAAAGATGTCCTACAATGTACCTCTTTTTACTGCTTTTAACTATGACTCTTATGCTTTTAATGTTATATAATATTTAAATTTTTATTACTTTCATCTTACCAGCAGCCAGTTGGTTATTGAATATCAAAAAACGAATAACGAAACGGCAGCTAACTTGACATGCATATACTTGAATTGGTGGTAAAGTACTGAACCTTTAGTTATTTGGCGAATCCTAGGTTTAATACATTTTTTTAAAAGACTTTATTTATTTGTTTTTAATTTTAGCAGAGCAATTACTTTTTTTCATAGAAATCTTTGGATGGCAATTTTGTTTTACTATTCAAAAAGACGGGCATCATCTTTTTTGAAGATATAGAATTAAGAAGGCACCGGTTTTCCTTCTTATAAATGTTGTACGGTATATATTAAACAAGTCAAACACCTTAATCATAGATTGCATATTTTATTTTATATCATATTACAGAGACTTGTCAAACAATAATTATAATAGTTCTATACAAGATATTCCTTTTATCGGACTGACAAATTTACATTTTTTGTAAGAATATTTATAGATTTCATAACGAGAGTAAATTTATTATCGTATGATATCAATTAGAGTTATTTAATTTCAATATTATAGCAAAAAAGCGTGCAGGGTTTATTTTTATTTTTTTTTATTGAAATTAAAACAACAAATTAAAGAATATTTGTTCAGGTAAAATAATTTTGATTTTGCTGACTTTAGAACTGCTTCTTACTGGCTTATTGGTTTCTATTCATGTGCTTCCGAAACATTCAACATTTGCAAGTATAGTCCGTTTGATTTCTATAAATCTTCAGAAAATAATTCTTAAAAATTCATTTTTACAAATAAACATTTATTTTCTTGATGTATGTTAATGTATGATATATACAAACTCTGACTATAAATATCATAATTTTGGGCCAATAATCAAAATAGTTACCCATTAGGTCTCTATGCTACTTCTATTTTTTTTTATATAAAATACTTGATGGAGTAAGTATGAATAGTGTAACAGCCTTAAATTCAAAACAAAAACATAGACATGTGCTTTAAACCTGTTAAGTCACATGGTACAATAAAACAAACATTCAAAGCACATGTCTAATGTTTTTGTTTTGAATGGAAGGCTGTTGCACTATTCATACTTACTCCATCAAGTATTTTATATACAAAAAAATAGAAGTAACATAGAGACCTTATGGGTAACTTTTTTGATTATTGGCCCAAAATTATTATATTCATAGTCAGAGTTCGTATATATCATACATTAACATACATCAACCAAAAAAAAATGTTTTTTTAAGAATTATTTTCTGAAGATTTATAGAAGTCAAACGGACTATATATGTTAAGCAACAACAACAAAATTATCATTTTATTTAATTAAGACATTGCAAATTGTTTTTTCTTATCAAGCATGCAATAGTTTCCCCTTTGCATTAAGCAACAACAAATCCCCATTTTATTTTAATACCTTTTTGGCATGACAAGATTTTTTGATTTTTTAAATCTTGTTGGTACTCTTCCGTGTTAAGGTAAGAACAAATAAAAGAAAAAGATACTAATGGGCCAATTAAAGACTGTTCAGTTGACAGACAGAAATATGGCTAAATACAAAAATGATAAAAAATATAAAAGATCGGGAATGAAACCGGGGAACCCTGTGTCTCGCCTGTGAGTGCATACTTTCCATGTAAAAGTATTATGCTGAATGAAAAAAGACTAAATCCATTTATAAGTATAATTCCCGGTTCATTAGATTCATTCACTGCGTTCTTCCTTAAAAAAGGGAAAATCAGGTAAAAATCGCATTTGCTATTTCATAAAGGAAACAAAGAGGACGAAATGTGGTCAAGACATATGGATCGCTCCTTTGCAATCTATGCAACAGATATCTCAAAAAGTCGACCATATAATAGTAACGATCAAAAAATTTTTGAAAAGATAACGATAACTTTCCATGAAAGTCATTGTTAAGTAAGTTCATCGTATGCAGTTACTCTCTTTCAAGGAAATTTTCATCAACTTAATATCACGCTATGGAATATCATATCAACCAAGAGATATACAATCCATATATAGGTGGTCCTTGTATAGTGTTGCTAAATACAAAATAAATGTACTTTTCACTGTGGAAACGTTAGAATTAGATTAATCTTGTTTACTGCATTATTTCTGCATCTATTTGTTTGCACAACACCTGATATAAAAACAACTTTGACTTCATCAAAACGCTGTTGTAAATTGATGTGTAAAATAATTCAGCTAAAATTAATGTTATGGTTATAACGACAGAAGTTCTGATATAAAGCAATTAAGAAATAAAAGAATATTAAGTTTTATCTTTTTAATCTTAACTTATCTTTAAAAAAACAGGTTTGTTTTAGCTTAGTTTTATATTAAACATTTCATCTTAATCATTCAGGCTTTTTATTAAAGAGTTATAAAAGAGTTGCTCGTGCGATCATTTTTAGTATGAATCACTTCAACTTCATACCTTAATTATATTCTGCTTACATTACAATTTCATTTGTATAAATTTGCTTATATGCAAATAAACGTAAATCAACAAAAAAAAATTATACTCCTCTTAGTGTTTAGCTTTCTATTTAATATGCAAGTCATATAAGGTATAATGTTGCACCTAGGAATATTACTTACAACTCAGATCACAAATTCATATAAAGATATTTCTGTTGAAACAGGAACACTTCTGTCGAAAATGGATTTCTGGATGGATTGTCATCCTTACAAACGTTATATATCCCGAATATTTATTTTATATGTGAGATCGTTTCGGCCATTTCATTTCATACAACCTATATTTATATTCTTATCAAGCATGCACTATTTTCCCCTTCACATTAAGCAGCAAGATATAACCATTTGTTAACGAGATTATTATTATAATATCTTATTATGGGGTTAGATTTGTATAGTCTTGTTATTACTCTTCGCTTTTCAAGTAAGAACAAATAAAAGATAGTATGGGCCAAAGAAATATTGACAAAAAGAAATATGACTTAAAGAAAAAAAATATATATAAAAGATCTTGAATGTTTCTCCTGAACACTGTGTAATGCGTGACATTGCTACTTTCTGTGTAAAAGTGTTATATCGAATGTCAAAAGACTAAATCCAGTTATCAGTAAAATACGAAAAACTATATATTGATGGTGATTTTTGTTCGATAGTAATATGTCTACAGAACTAGGTAGGATAAGGAGTTCCTGTTTCACTAGAAGCATCCTTTACATTCTTCCTTTAAAATAAGAAAATGTATCGCATTCTCTTATACATGCATAATCAAAGAAAAAAAGTGGACGAAATCTGGTCTAGACAAATGAATCTATCCGTTATGATCTATTAAATAGATATCTCAAGAGAATCAACCATGTCATGATTGCTTCCATAAAACATTTGAAAATATAACATAAACTTACCACGAAGAAGCCATTGTAAAGGAGCTTCCTCACATGCAGTTTCTCTCTACCAAGAACATTTTCATACGTTTAATCTCAAGCAATATGGATCGATCCATTGAAATATATGTAACAGATATCTCATAAAGTCGACCATATAATAGTAACGATCAAACAGTTTTTGAAAAGATAACATTAACTTTCCATGAGAACCATTGTTAAGTAGCTTTCTCGTATCCAGTAACTCTGTATCAAGGAAATATCATCAATTTAATTGCAAGCTATGGAATATCGTATCAACAAGGAGGTATATAATCATTATATAGGCGGTCCTTGTATAGTGCTGCTAAATATAAAATAATTTTCACTGTGGAAAGATATAATTAGATTAATCTTGTTTACTGTATTATATTTTTATTGTACAATTACTTGTTCACAACACCTGATACATACAAAATTGACTTGATCAAAACGCTATTGTAAATTGATAAATCAATATGTAAAATATTTCAGCTAAAATCAATCTGATCGTTATTACACAGAAGTTCTGATATAAAGCAATTTAGAAATAAAAGATTGTTAAATTGAATCTTTTTAATCTTAACCTATCTTTGAAAAAGAGATCTGTTTTTTATATCGAACATTTCATCCCAATCATTCAAGGTTTTTTTTAATTAATGGGTTATATAAAAGTTGGTCGTGCGCTCATTTATAGTATGAATCGCTTCCACTTTATACCTAAATTACATTCTGCTTCCATTACAATTTCATAAATTGTCTTCTGTTTGTATAAACAAAAAAAATCTAAACACATTAATCAAAAATTGCTTATTACATCGTATATCATATTACAAAGACTGATCGACCAACAATATAGGTTCTATAGAGGGTAGCACTTTTGTAGGACTGACAAATTTACAGACTTTGAAAATAGATTTATAAGTTCCTTAACGAGAGGTAATTTGATATTTCTTGATGTGAACTCTCGAGTTATTAGATTTCCATATCATTACAAACGATTCTGGAGACTTTATTGTAGGTAATATCGAAATCATATAACGAATTAAAATATCTTTACAACACCTTGAAATATTTTTGATTCGAACGATTTATAACTGATCCCTACTGTATTTAAAAAACTGATCTACCTTTTCGTTTCGTGTGCTTATGGCGCATGCAGCATTTGCAAATATACGTTAAGCAACAACAAAAACATCATCGTTTAAAAAAAAGAAAAAGATTGTTAATCCTTTTGGCTTTACTTCAAGTGTTTAGCTTTCTTTTTATTATGCAGTTCATATAAGATATTATGTTGCACCTATGCATATTACTTATTACTCAGTTCTCAAATTCATTTGTAGATATTTCAGGGACAACATGATCACTTCTGTAGAAAATAGAATTCTGGATGGACTGTCTTCCTTAATCCTCTTGTAAGTCCCGAATATTTATTTTATCTGTGAGATCATTTCGGACATTTCATTTCTAACAACCTTTATTTATATTCTTATCAAGCATGCAATATTTTCCCCTTTACATTAAGCAGCCATTTTTTTATCGAGATTATTATTCTTATACTTTATGACGGGACAAGATTTGTATAGTCCTGTAAACTCTTCGCTTTTCCAGTAAGAACAATTAAAAGATATTATTGGCGAATCAAATATTGTGAGTTGACAGACAGAAAAATGATTTGAAGACAATAAAGATCAAAAAGATCGGGAATGATTCTCTTGAATCCTGTGTCTCGCATGTGATTGCTACTTTCAGTGTAAAAGTGTTACATCGGATGTCAGAAAACTAAATTTCGTTATAAGTAAAATACGAAAAAACTATAGGAGGATGGAGATTTTTTTCGGCAGTATTAGTTCTACAGCGCTAAGGAAAGGTAAAGAGTTCCAGTTTCATTGACGCATTTGATGCCTGGTAAAAATCGCATTCGCTCATATCATAAATGAGAAAGTGGACGAAATATGTTCTAGACAAATAAATCTATCCGTAGTGATCTATGAAAATGATATCTCAAATAAGTCAACAATATTATGATTGCTTCCATACAACTTTTGAAATTATAACATTTACTTCCCATAAAGACGCGTGATAACGACTCTAGTTATTGAATTAAAAATGACAGTGAAGTCTCATTGTTGTAGATTAATGAATAATGTCCACTTTCTGACAGTTGTCTAGTGCATTCTATAAATATGATGAAACGGTATGATATTGTGTTTCTTTGTCCTATATGTTCTCCCATTTATTTGTATTGTGGTCCTGTCATGTGATGTTGTCGTTTTGGTGATATGTTTGACGTTGCCATAAAAGCGGGAGGTTTGGCATGCAACAAAACCAGGTTCAACCCACATTTTTTCTTAAAATGTCCTGTACCAAGTCAGGAAAATGGCCATTGTTATATTATAGTTCGTTTATGTGTGTGTTACATTTTAATGTTGTGTTTTTGTTGTGTCGTTGTTTTCCTCTTATATTTGATGCGTTTCCCTCAGTTTAAGTTTGTAACCCGGATTTGTTTTTATCTCTATCGATTTATGAGTTTCGAGCAGCGGTATACTACTTTTGCCTTTAATTAGCGTTCTGCACTAAGAAAAGTAAACGGAAATTACTTTTTTAAATAGTTGATAAAATTTGGATTACCAAATTGCATATTTGAATTGGTAGTAAAGTACTACACCTTCATTCTATTCGGTGATTCCTAGGTTTGATATATATTTTTAAAAGACTTTATTTATCTGTTTTAATTTCAGCAGGGGGATTACTTTTTTTCACAGAAATCTCTTGATGACAATTTTTTTTTAAGATTCAAAAAGACGGGCATCAACATTTTTGAAGATATAAAATTTAGTATGCACCGGCCTATCCCTCTTATAAGTTATGTACGGTCTATAAGAAACAAGTCCAACACGTTAATCGTAGATTGCTTATTTTACTATATATCATATTACAGAGACTTGGCAGACAATAGTATTAGTTCTATAGCAGATAGTCCTTTTATCGAACTGACAAATTTACAGATTTTGTAAGTATATCTACAGATTTCATAACGAGAGTAAATTATATATCGCGTGATATCAATAGGATTTAATATATTTCTATATTAAATGAAAAAAGCCTGCAGAGTTTATTTTTATTATTTTTTATTGAAATTAAAAAAATGAATTGAAGAATCTTTGTCCTGGTGAAATGATTTTGAATTTGCTAACTTTAGAACTGATTCCCACGGCCTATTGTTTTCTATTCATGTGCTTCTGAAATATGAAACATTTCAAAGTATACGTCAAACAACAACAACAGATTATCATTTTGTTTGATTAAGACATTGTATTTCTATTCAATATACAGTTCATATTGGATATAATGTTTCATCTTGGTAAATTACATATTACTCAGTTCGCAAATTCTTTTTGAAGATTTATCCAGAGAAACAGGATTACCTCTGTAGAAAATGGATCTTTGTATGGATTATCATCCTTAAGAGAGTTGTAAGTACCGACTATCTATTTTATCTATAATATGTTTCCGCCATTTCATTTCTTACAACGTATATTTATATTCTTATCAAGCATGCAATATTTCCCCTTTACCTTAAGCAACAGCAAATCACCATATGTTTTATCGAAATTATTCTTATAATACCTTTTGACGTGACAAAATTTTCTAATCGTGTTGGTACTCTTTTGTATTACGTTAAAAACAATTAAAGGGTATTAATGGGCGAATTGAAGACTGTTCAGTTGGCAGACAGAAATATGGCTAAAATACAAAAACGATAAAAAGATACAAATATCATGAATAATTCTTGGGAACCTTTTTCCCTCGCTTGTGAGTGCATACTTTCAATTTAAAAGTATTATGCTGAAAGTAAAAAGACTTAATTCTTAATTCCATTCTCAATTTTATTAATCCATTGATAAATACAGTTCCTGTTTCACTAGATTTACTCGCTGCGTTCTTCCTTCAAAATGAAAAATCGGGTAAAATTCGCATTCGCTATTTCATGAATGAGACAAAGAGGACGAAATGTGATCAAGCCATATGGATCGATTCGTTAAAATCTATGCATCAGATATCTCCAAAAGTAAACCATATAATAGAAACGATCAACAAAATTTTGAACAGATAACGTTAACTTTCCGTGAATGACATTGTTATGCAGCTTCCTTGTATTCTGTTACTCCATATCAAGGAAATCCTAATCAATTTCATTACAAGCTATGGAATATCTTATCAAACAGGAGATATACAATCCATATATAGGTTGTCCTTGTATAGTGCTGATAAATACAAAATTAATGTAATTTTCACTGTGGAAACATTGAAATATGTAAAATATATAAAATCTGATACTTGTTACGATAGAAGTTCTGAAGCAATTAAGAAATAAAAGAATGTTAATTTTTATCTTTTCAATTTTAACTTATCTTTAGAAAACAGATTTGTTTTAGCTTATTTTGATATCAAACATTTCATTACAATCATTCAGGCTTTTCTTTTAATTGTTGGGTTATAAAAGAGTTGGTCGTGCGCTAAGTTTTAGTATGAATCGCTTCCAGATTATATATAAAGTACATTCTGCTGCCATTATAATTTCATTAATTGTCTTATGTTTGTATAAAAGAAACAATTTAAAAACATTAAACATGAATTGCTTATTATATTATATATCATATTAAAAAGACTGATCGACCAATAGTATTAGTTCTATAGAGGGTAGCACATTTGTCGGACTGACAAATATACAGAATTTGAAAATAGATTTATAAGTTTCTTAACGAGAGGAAATTTGATATTGCTTGATGTGAACTCTCGAGTTATTAGATTTCCATATTATTACAAACGAACCTGGAGAGTTTATTGTTATCATTATCGAAATTATATAACTAAGTGTTTAGCTTTCTATTAAATTTGCAGTTCATATAAGATAAAATTTGCAAATTGGTAAATTACTTATTACTCAGTTCGCAAATTCTTTTTGTAGACATAGCCAGTCAAACAGGATCACCTCTGTAGAAAGAGGATCTCTGGATGGATTATCATCCTTACAAAAGTTGTAAGTACCGACTGTCTATTTTATCTGTAATATTTTTTCTGCCATTCATTTCTTACAGCCTATATTTATATTTTTATCAAGCATGCAATATTTTCCCCTTTGCATTAAGAAACAACAAATCACCATTTGTTTTAACTTATACCTTTTGACGTGACAAGATGTTTTAATCGAGTTGATACTCTTCCGTATTACGGAAATAACAATTAAAGGTTACTAATGGGCCTATTAAAGACTGTTCAGTTGACAGACAGAAATACGGCTAAAATACTAGAACGATAAATAGTACAAAAACGATAAAAAGATATTAAGATCGTGAATGATTCTTACGAACCCTGTTCCCTCGCCTGTGAGTGCATACTTTCAATGTAAAAGTAATATGCTGAATGTAAAAAGAATAAATCCATTGATAAGTATAGTTCCTGTTTCACTAGATTCATCCGATGCGATTTTCCTGAAGAATCGGGTAAAATTCGCATTCGCTATTTCATAAATGTAACAAAGAGGACGAAATGTGGTCATATGGATCGATTCGTTGAGATCTATGTAACAAATGTCTCAAAAAGTCGACCATATAGTAACGTTCAACAAACTTTTGAAAAGATAACGTTAACTTTCCATGAAAGCCATTGTTATGTAGCTTCGACGTATGCAGTTACTCCCTATCACAGAAATTTTTATCAATTTAATTGCAAGCTATGGAATATCGTATCAAACAGGAGATATACAATCCATATATAGTTGGTCCTCGTATAGTGCTGATAAATACAAGATAAATGTAATTATAACTGTAGAACCATACAATTAGATTAATCTTTTATCTACATATGCAGAGTTCATTGTTATTATTATCGAAATAATAGAACGAAGTGTTTAGCTTTCTATTAGATATGCAGTTCATATAAGATAAAATTTTGCATCTATAAATATTACTTATTACTCAGATCACAAATTCATTTGTAGATATCTCGGTTATAACATGATCACTTCTATAGAAAAAGGATTTCTTGATGGACTGTCATCCTTAGACACGTTGTAAGTCCCGAATATTTATTTTATATGTGAGATCATTTCTGACATTTCATTTCATACAACTTTTATTTATATTCTTATCAAGCATTCAATATTTTAACCTCTACATTAGGCAGCAACAAAACAATCACCATTTTTTTATCGAGATAATTATCCTTACACCTTATGACGGGGTAAGATTTGTATAGTCTTGTTAGTACTCTTCGTTTTCCAGTTAGAACAATTAAAATATATTATATGCCAATCAAATATTGTTAGTTAATCGAAAGATATATGACTTAAAGACAAAAAAGATATAAAAGATCATGAATGATTCTCCTGAATCCTGTGTCTCGCATGTGAATTATACTATCAATTTAAAATGTTATATCAAATGTCAAAAAACTAAATCCAGTTATCAGTATAAAACGAAAACCTATATGTGGACGGTGATTTTCTTTCGGCAGTATTAGTTCTACAGAAGCTAAGGTAGGGTAAGGAGTTACAGTTTCATTAGAAGCATCCGCTGCATTCTTTCTTTAAAATAAGAAAATCTGGTAATAATCGCATTCGCTCATATCATAAATGACAAAAGTGGACGAAATCTGTTCTAGGCAAATAAATCTATCGGTTGTGATCTATAAAACTAATTTTGTAGACATTTTCAATGTTCTCATAGTTATGTAAAAGAGGGACGAAAGATACCAGAGGGACAGTCAAACTCATAGATCGAAAACAAACTGACAACGTCATGGCCAAAAATAAAAAGACAAACAGACAAATAATAGTACAGATGACACAACATAGAAAACTAAAGACTAAGCAAAACGAACCCCACCAAAAACTGGGGGTGATCTCAGGTGCTCCATATGTAAAATGTTCTGACAATGGCATAATATTAGGCAATTAAATAAAAAAAAATTGTAATATTAAATATTTTCTATCAAATGAAAAAACAGCTTGTATTTAGACTATTTTTATACCAAACATTCTAAGAATTTAAGCTTTTTATCAGGTTATGAAACCGTTGGTCGTGCGCACATTTTTAGTATAAAACCTTTCACTTCATAAATTTATTACATTATCCTTCCCTTACGATTTCAATAATTGTATTCGCTTTGTATAAAAGACGCAAGTCAAAGAGTTAGTCGTAGATTGCTTATTTTATTATACATTATATTACGGAGACTTAGCAACCAATAATATTACTTCTAAAGATTATAGCATTTTTATCACTAAAATGATAACAAGGCTGAGCCATGAGAAAAGAAACCACACCTTAATGCAATTATCTTCTTGGCAACATATTTTGAACATATCAGCAGCTATATCCAATCGGGTTTGAAACTTTAATTCACAACATCATACGACACTTCCTGAAGTATTCTCTAAGTATGTCAGTTGGTAAAATTTACAACGTACTAGGAATATTCTCTCTCTCTCTCTCTCTCTCTCTCTCTCTCTCTCTCTCTCTCTCTCTCTCTGCTATAGCTAAATATAAATGAAAACTGTGTAACACATAACTTGTCAACCAAGGCGAAGCTGAGCTATGAGATAGAGTTAGTTGTCTCCCTCGTATTAATCAATAAAATTCTGCCATTCTAACGTGAAGTATAATAAACAGCAAATATCAAACTTGAAGTGTGAATTTCTGTACTGTACAGCTAGATACCGCCACGTCCGGTCTATGCATTTGTTTGATGTTTTTCTTTGTATCGATCTGATGAGTTAAGCTTTTTCAATTGATTTTGATCAATATTTCTTATGTTGTGCTGTTACACAACTGTCCCGGGCTAGGGGGATGGTTGAGCGCTCACAAACATGTTTAACCCCGCCACATTCTTTATGTGCCTTTACAAAGTCAGGAGCCTGAAGTTCAGTGGTTGTCGTTTGTTCATGTCTGTCATATTTGTTTTTCGTAAATTGTTTTGTTATGATTTAGGCTATTAGTTTTCTCAATTGAGTTGTTTCATACTTATTTTTTATGTCGGGGCCTTTTATAGCCGACTATACGTTATGGGTTTTTCTCATTGTCGAAGGCCGCACGGTTGCCTATGCTTGCTTACATCCACTTTATTTAAACTTTGGTGGATAGTTGTCTCATTGGCAATCATACCACATCTCCTTATTTTTAGATTGTTTCAATATATAACAGTAGAAGAAAACATTTAATAATTTCGTGGGTCTGTAGTTTATTTGTTGACAAACTGTTCTTGGCATTGATAGACTTTTTATAAGCGGGTGATTTTTTTTTTCACAAAAGAATGTTTTCTTGATTTTATTGTGTAAATATAACATGTAGAATGATACAGAAAATATACTAACATATTTGTATCGACTAAGATCAAAAGAGCTTCATTGGTCAGAATGGTTATGTGAGATAGATTAAATAATTTCGATTTCGCTAGCGTTAGAACTGATTCCCACTGTACCTAACTAACTGACCTATTGTTTTTAATACATGTGCTTCTTAAACATGCAACATTTCCAAGTAAACGTTAAGCAACAACAACAAAAATTATCATTGTTTCTTATTAAGACATTTTAAATTGCTTTTAGTTCAAGATATTTCCTTTCTATTCAATATACAGTTCATATCAGGCATGGGGCGAATTACATTGCAATGTAATGCATTATATTACAATTACTTTGACCAAACCATGCATTATATTACAATTACAATTACATGCATTTATCAAAGTAATGCATTATATTACAATTACTTTTGCAAAGTAATGCCTTGAATTACACATTACATTTGAAAATTTTATTAGTGAATAGAAAAATTAAACATTTTGAAAAACAACTAGAAGTCACAAAAGATTCTAGCATATGCAGTAACTGTTCCATGAATTGAATATAAGTATACATGTAAAAAGTCTATTTAATTTGACTTTTACAATTTTTAATTATTTTAACTTAATGTTGACTTTACTTTTATAAATATATTTTTTGTTGTTTTTTTTTTAATTTTAAACGAAATATTTAATTACTGTGAATTACTTCCCTAATTATAAAATAAACATAGACCTTAATTAATGAACAATTGTCTAAATGGTGAAAATATTGATTGTTAAACAAACTAATTAGTGTTTTATTACAAAGTTTAATTATCTTTTATTTCAGCAAAACAAAGATATTCTTTGATCTTATGACAATAATACAGCTATGCTTTTCAAATATCAATCTTTGTATGCAGGAAAATGTATGAAATAAGATGAAATAAAGAAATATTCTAATGATTAACATATTCTTAGTTAATCAAGAAATCTTAAATTTGGTTTAGTTAAAACTCCAACAATATGTTATAGATGTAGTATGTGAAAAAAGTAATGACATGTAATGCCATGTAATGCATGAAATTACACAACTTTTTGCTAAAGTAATGCATTATATTACAATTACATGTAATGCACAAATTGCTGCATTACACATTACATGCAATTACTTGGAAAAATGTAATGCATTACCATGCATTACAATTACAAATTTGCATTACCCCATGCCTGGTTCATATTAGATATAATGTTGCACCTAGGTAAATTACTTATTACTCAGTTCGCAAACTCTTTTGTAGTTATCTCACGGCAAACCAGATCACTTCTGTAGAAAATGGATCTCTGTATGGATTATCATCCTTGAAAAAGTTGTAAGTACCAACTATCTATTTTATCTATAATATTTTCTTGGCCAATGATTCTTGGAAACCCTGTGTCTCACCTATGAGTGCATACTTTCAGTGTAAAAATATTATGCTGAATAAGTATAGTCCCTGTTCACTAGATTCACTCGCTGCGTTCTTCCTTAAAAAAGGGAAAATCGGGTAATAATCGCATTCGCTCATTTCATTAATGAGACAAAAAGGGTGAAATGTGGTCAAACCATATGAATTGATCCGTTGTAACCTATGTAACAGATATCTCAAAAAGTCGACATATCATAATAACGATCATAAAACTTTAGAAAAAATAACGTTAACTTTCAATGAAAGCCATTGTTAAGTAGCTTCCTCGTATGCATTTACTCTCTACCAAGGAAATTCTCATGTGTTTTATCGCAAGCTATTAAACATCGTTTCTACCAGGCGATATACAATCTATATATAGGTCCTGCTAGAATGCTGATAAATACAAATGAAAAGTTCACATTATTTGTTTTATCAAAATTTTAAACCATATTGACTAACTTTTTATTCAATATACAGTTCATCTTAAGATATAATGTTGCACCTAGGTAAATGACTTATTACTCAGCTGCATATTCTTTTATAGATATCTCAATCGAAACAGGATCACTTCTGTAGAAAATGGATCTCTGGATGGATTATCATCCTTAGAAATATTGTAAGTACCGACTATCTATTTTATCTATGATTTTTCTTCTGCCATTTTATTTGTTACAACACTATTTGTATTCTTATCAAACATCCTGTTGCACTAGATTCTTCCGCTGCATTCTTCCTTTAAAATAAGAAAACCCGGTAATAATCGCGTTCGCTCATACCATAAATGAAAAAATAATAAATGTTGCACATAGGTATATTTATAAGTTTGATAGCGAGTGAGAATAAGATATCGCTAGATACAAACTTGAGTTATCTAATTTCAATATAAAAATAAACGAGCCATCGTCGAGTTTATCATTTCTATTTAGATTGAATAAAGAGAATTGACAGCAAGCAATATCCAATTCTCGCGAGTTGATTAACCTATTTCACTTATAGTCAACAGCTCTCATTGTGTTAAACTGAAAATAACGCGTATCGTTTGTCCAGTCTTTTGCACATACCAGTATGACGTAATAAATCTTGTTCCGGCGTCATACTTTAACATCAGACATTTTAAAACTGGTTGTTAGCTTCAGAATGTAATAAAATTAGACAAAAATAAGATTTAAGGGTGAAAAGTGAGAGTGTTTTGCACATTATTGAATATTAACATATGTCCGTTACCATGGACGAAATGTGCATGGTCTTAATCTTTGAAATTCATCAATGACCCAACATAAAACCAATGGAAAGTCGTAATATTGTCTCATGATGCTGGATAAGCCAATCATATTAATCAGTTTTCGTATCACTTTTAATACGTGCAGTGTGATATGAGAAATATCGCTTCATTAGATACAAGGAATAGATATCAGGCCACAACCATCAGAGAATACTTATTACTCAGTTCGCAAATTAATTTGTAGAGATATCAGTGGAAATAGGATCACGTCTGTAGAAAAGGGATACCTGGATGGATTATCATCCTTACTTAATTTGTAAGTATAGATTGCTTCTTTCATCTATAAGATCATCCGGACATTTTATTTCTAACAACCGAGATATCGTGACACCAAATCGCCTGCACTGTATCCGACGCGAAGGACCACTCGACCACCTAGGCTTCACAATACTAAAGCTTTCGGTGGCCGGGTGTTACCTTTCCTCGTCAGTTTTAATCTAGCGTCGTAATACAGTACATGATATATAAGGCATGAAGATGGATCTTAATTATAAATTTGATACTAAACAGAAAACAATAAACTTGCGGAAAAGATGATATACCGCAAACAAAAGGTGCAAAGGTTTTTGTACACCATATCCGGATTTCGACAATTTATGTCTCTTCAGTGATGTTAGGACTCGAAACGGTATTTGGAAAGCCATACAATTAACCTCAATTTAGGATAGACTCTTGAATTTTGAGGAGTCAAAATAGGATGAACGGATCATATAAACCCGAAGGCAAATATAATACAAGCCCAAACGAAAAAATATAAACAGGTCTAAATTGAAAATAACGTTCAAACCTATGATTGTGTTGGATAAAAACCGCAATTTGTATACGTGTGCATGCAAAACAAATTTCTTGTTAGAGGGGTCTAAATACAGCACAAACAACATTTTCCAAAAGACCAAAAAAGTGAAAAAGTATATTTTAACAAAACGCATTTGACTAACAGGTCGAACAACAAATGTTCTTATAACCTGCTGACTGCCATATATATATATAATAAGAACGTCTGAACCAATGACGATTCTACAACATATTTTATCCATCGGATCACCAGCAGTGATGGTGATACAAGGCTGAAAATTCATTCTGTATATATAATTCGTCTAAACAACAGCCCAACAATGTTAGATCTGTAAATTTTTTGTTCTTCTTTGGCCGGGATTCGAACTCATGCTACTGAGATATCTTAGCATCAAATCGCTTTGCACTATGCCCGACGCGCTAGACCACTCGACCACCAAGGCTCTATAATAATAAAGCTTTCGGTGCCCGGGTGTTAACTCTCTTCGTCATTTTTAATCTAGCGTCGTAACACAGTACATGAAATATAAGGCATGAAGATGTAATTGTTACAGATCAGCTGAATTATCTATTGTAAAGGATCCTACAAATTATTGTAAGATTCAGTCACAGAAATAATTACATTATAAGTACGTCTGAACGAGTGACGACTCTACGACAAATTTTATCCATCGGATCACCAGCAGTGATGGTGATACAAGACTGAAAATACATTCTGTATATATAATTCGTCTAAATAACAGTTATCCTTCATCAGTATGATTATGATGATGTAAAAAAATCATACAGATGAAGGATATCTGTTATCCGAAATGTTTATAGATACTTATATTTAATGTTTCCTTTTCTTAATATTGGTGTTGTTTTGTACACATCTTGAGCGTATATATAATTTATTTATTGTGTACAGGTATCGTAACGATCCAGCGTCCTCGTCAAAAGGTCGTTGAAAAATATCTAGACGTTATACAGCCTTGTTTGTACTCTTCGCTTTACCGGTAAAAACAATTTGAATATATTAAGGGCCAATGATATATTGTTATATGACAGACAGAAATAGGACTCAAGGACAAAAAAGATAAAAAGATATAAAAGATCGTGAATGAATCTCCAAACTGTGTCTCGTCTGTGGTTGCTACTTTCAGTGTAAAAGTGTTATATCAAATGTATAAAAATAAATCCAGTTATCAGTAAACCAAACAAATATAATTTTGATAGTGATTTTTTTTTATAGTACTAATTCTGCAGTAGCTACGGTAGAGTAAGGCGTTCCTGCTTCACTAGAAGCATCCGCTGTGTTTCTCCTTTAAAATAAGAAAATCATTTCATAAATGAGACAAAGAGGACGCAATCTGGTCAAGCCTTATAGATCGATCCGTTGTGATCTTTGTAAAAGATGATTGATTGTTGGTTGCTTAACGTCCAGTGGCAAATATTTCATGCATGTTCAGGACGATAACAAATTAACGAAAAATACTAAAGGTAGGTCCTGTAATAGAAGCCGTCCGGGATATTGGTCGGGTTATTTGGACTGCAACTGGAAAATGAGGGTAAATTGGATTAGGACAAAACATGTACCTTGCAACAGGCCACCTCCGGCACCGTCAAATAGTTGTTGCAATGTTTCGTAACATGCAGAGAGCGTGGAATCCTCTTTACACGAGGCATCGGATTTAACATCCGTATTCTAACTGGACGTGGCAGCGTACTTGTACATCCCGCATAATAAAACGTACGCCCCACTTTGGAAAGGGTTTTACTACCGGCTGGTAGAAATTGATACCGCTTGATATCAACTCAAGTTTTTTTAATTCAAAATGACTGTTAAGTCTAGTTGTTTCAGAATAATGAATAATGTCTACTTTCTGACAGTTTACTAGTGCAATCTATGAATATATTAAATCGATATGAAATGAAAATTCTTCAGTAAGAAAAGAATACGGAATTTTAATTTTTAAATATTGATAAAATTTGGATTACTAAATTTATACTTGAATTGGTGGTACCATACTTCATCTTCAGTGTATTTGGTGATTCCTAGGTAAAATATGTTTTAAAGACTTTATTTATATGATTCAGTTACATTGTAAATTGCTTTTACTTCAAGCTTTTTCCTTTCGTTTCAATATACAGTTCATATTAGATATAATGTTGCACCTAGATAAATAACTTATTACTCAGTTCGCAAATTCTTTTTGTAGAAATCTCCAGGGAAACGTTATCACTTCTGTAGAAAGTGGATCTCTGGATGGGTTATCATCCTTAAAAAAGTTGTAAGTACCGACTATCTATTTTATCTATAAATAAGCCTAAACTGAAAACAACGTTCAAACCTATGATTGCGTTGGATAAAAACCGCAATGTTTATACTTCTCACATCCTCAAGTATATTCTTATCAAGCATGGAATATTTTCCCCTGTACATATAGCAGCAACAAAAAACTAATATATGTTTATCGAAAATATTATTCGAATACTTTTTGAAGTGGTAAGATTTTTTTTCAAATCGTGTTTATACTCTTCCGTATTACGGTGAGAACAATTTTGATATACTAATTGGTCAATCAAATACTGTTTAGTTGACAGACAGGAATATTGCGTATAGACAAAACCTTTAAAAAGATATAAAAGATAGTGATTGATTTTGGGGACTTTGTGTCTCGCTTACGAGTGCATGCTTTCAGTGTAAAAGTGTTATGCTGAATGAAAAACAAGCTAAATCCATTTAAAAGTAAAATACAAAAAGTCTATATGTTGTTGGCGATAATTTTTCTTCATTGATATTTCGTCAGAAGCTACGGAAGGGTAAAATGTTCCTGCTTCACTAGATTTGTCCGCTGCGTTCTTCCTGTAAAATAAAAAGGTAATAATCGCATTTGCTCATATCATAAACGAAAAAAGATATAATGTTGCACCTAGGCATATTTATAGGTTTGATAATGAGTGAGAATTAGATATCGCTTCATTTTTAGACTTATACCTTGAATTTGACATAAGCAATCATCTCAGTACCAGTATCTATTACAAACGATACGATTTTAATTTTGAATTGATAAATTTCCCCCACCTTAGCAGCAATTTACAAACTTCAACTGCATATGGGAGATACATTTCCCAACTCATTCAGTATTCAAGAGCTTGCAGCTGCTACTCAGACTTTATAAAACGTCCCCAATGTCTGAGCAGAAAGTTGATTAACCAGGGTAATGTCAAAGAACGTATCGTCCTTTTTCTAAAAAGGTTCATCGGAAGATACCAAGACCTTGTTGATAAATATTCAGTATCAACATTACAAATAATACCTGATGGTCTTGGAGTATAGATTCTAGGAACTAACGTTGTTTATCATCTTAATAATGTGTCTTAGTGTTTTTTATTTGAATTTGTATATTTTGTCACCTTTACTGTTTAGTTCATTTTTGATTATATACTTTTGACGTGGCTCGGTATTTATACATCACGCCATTGTGTTATTGTGCTATGGTCACTTTTATATTCTTGTCTTTCATTTTTGCTTAGGAACTTCGTATATAGAGTATCTATATGCCATGTTGTTTTTCTTTGATCTTAACACAATGTTTACTGCTGTACCCCAACTGTTGACCTTTGTATCTTTTATGTCTGTTTGTTTTGCTCACACATTGATGTCAATATAATGGAAGGGAATGCGACTGTCACACAAGTCAGAGGTTTGGCTAGTTATAACACCAGGTTAAATCCGCCATTTTCTACATAAGGAAATGCATGTACCAAGTCAGGAATATGACAATTGTTTTCCATTCGTGCTTTTGAATTTGCCATTTGATAAAGGACTTTCCGTTTTGAATTTCCCTTGGAGTTCGGTAGTTTTGTTTTTTTTACTTTTTGATATCAACTCGTTATCTAGTTTCAATATAAGGAGCCTTCGGCGAGTTTATTAATTTCATTTAATTGAATAACGAGAGTCGATTTCAAGCAATATCAAATTCTTATGAGATGCTAAACCTATTTCACTTATGGTCAACACTCTCATTGTGATAAATTAAAAATTCCGCGAATCGTCGATCTAGTCTTTTGCAAATACATGTACCATTATGACGTAATAAATCTTGTTTCGGCATCAAACTTTAACATCAGACATTTCAAAACTTGTTTGTCAGTTTCAGAATGTAATAGAATTTGACAAAAAGAAGATTTACGGGTAAAAAGTGAGAGTGTTTTGCATATATTGAATTGATAACATATGTCCGTTACCATTTAAAATAATCATTAATGACTTTACGAATAGCCAATGGAAATGTCGTAATATCGTCTCATTGTGCTGGATAAGCCAATCTAGTTTTTGCATGACCTTTCCGTATCACACTACAGAGACATATCTAGTCATGTAAATATGTCAATTAAGGTTTTGATTATGTAAATGTTGCCGGTATCCTTAATTATCATTCCGTATAAGAACATATGCTTGGTTATTTTGATGCTACTGAGCTCCTTCTTATTTGTTACGTTTACAAAAAATCTACCCGATAATATGTGCTTGATTATAACGAGGTCTGTAAAAATGTTAATATCAATGACAATACACCTACGTCATTAAATTGCAGTAATTCCAAATACATTGATGGCCCCAGTTCCCATGTTATAATAGGAGACCTTAACATCGTCTAGAACCGTGAGTTGAAATTATTCCTTAGTAAAGGACCTAAATATCGTCCCCTGCCAATTATTAATTGGAATGAGTGTCGTAACATCATCCACGACTCACTCCGTACTTGCTATCTGAAATGGGTAAACCGAGAAAAAAACTGACTTAAAATCCTTAGATTCTTTTTCTTTTATTCAGTAATGAACATATTTGCTATTCGTAATAAACATTTCAAAGAACATTTTACTCCTAACCAGAACCACAATAGCCCTATTGCTTGTATCAAACATAAGCCAAAAGATCACGCCAAGGAATTTGCTTTGTCCCGGCTGATAAGGCTGCCAATAATATCATTATTGTTTGACGTAAATTTTTGTTGAGGTTATGCAAAAGAAAATCACGAATTCACCAGCATTCCAACTGACACAATTTTTGGAAATGACATCTGTAACAAGCATAAACTTTTAGCTACCTCTTTATACGAAGAACCTAATAACATGAAAGTTCCAACGATAAACTGGCTTCCGAAGATGCCCAAAATAAAGGCAACCGTTCAGTGATTAATTTTTTTACCAAATCATCTCACCGTCCTTACAGTACAGGCAGACGGGATTTGTTGATGACCACCCATGACCAGATCAATATGTAGGGAAAACACCACGTCAATAAAGTTCGATTATGCAACGTCATTTTCGAGAATTTTTTACGGCCGCAACATTAACCGCTAATCAAGTCGTCGAATGCCATGGCAGATATATTCACGCCATAAATGTTTCCCATATACTTAACTGCCAAAGAACCGACTGCAGAAAAAAAGTTCAAGCCCTTCAAACCGCATAATTGCCAAAACACACTGTAATGGGTGGGAAAGATGCCAAATCAGAAGGTACAAAACAGAACTCAAAACATGCCCAAAAGAATTGGTTCACCTATCTGTCATTCATCTAGGCGTTGGTTACAGACAGTCATTGCCTTCGACTGTGACACATTTATTGATAAGGGGGAAACCAGGATTTCAGTGCATACCACATGATTTGAACATTAAACATGACGTAATCAATTGAACTTTCGAACTGCAATGTTTTTAGATAATGAAGTAATGAATGAAATTGGTGTTTATACTTTTATTTTACAAATATTGCATATTTGAAGATAAAGATTAAAACGAGTAATCTGGTGATGCGTTTTTAAAGTCCGTCAATATAAAATAATATTCTGTTGAAGTAACAATAACTATTGATTGATGGTGTTATTTCTGGTCAGCGCCTATACCGGCAACTTACTTTTTTAGTATATTTAAATAGTGTAATATAAAAATTTTAAACTGCAAGTTCAGTACTAATATCGGTGCACCTTCTTTTACATACATTTATCATAGTTATAGTCGCAAAGACAAAAAATCGAGAAAAAAAAAGGAGTGGTAGTGCGGGATTACAGGCGAAAACTAGAAATTTTAGTACTAGTACAAACAAAATTACTTAGGACTCACTTGAAAAAGAGGAAGTTCGTTAACACCAAAATCCAACAGTTGAAGATAAATAACCCTTTTTTCAGAGGAACAGACAAAATAAATCAATAAATCAATAAGATTAAACTTAATACACTGAAAATAAAACACGGATTAAGAACAAATCTCTTAAACTTCAAGTTATGTTATTCGGAAATGGTGATATTACTTTCCAAAACATACCCTTAAAACTTTATAAAGTAAAATAAATCCCGTTTAACATCATGCTATTTAGTCGGAAAGGCGATAAACTGGTGTGATTCTGATAACTGATGCAAGATATAATGTTCACTTATCAAATACGATAAGGATATCAAATATTGGGAACAAAAATGAAATCTTTACATTGAAAGTTTGAAAAATCTAAGTTCCGACTGAAATATATTGTAGAGACCTCCGTGATAATCAAAAAACCTTGGAATGCTGTGGTGTACAAGGATTTATCACATGGATACAAAATAAAGGATCAGTGGATATTTTGGGAAAGTGTAATCACCAGTCACAATCAACATTCATCAAAGCTTTCAATGTATCCGAATGTCTACCTCCAGGTCGGTGATCTATAACTTATACTATTACAGTATCTTTGTCCTCTTTACACTTACCGTATTGGTTACATTATACCATATAGGTTCAATTGCAGCAACGTAAATGTGATGTTACGATAGGATTTCACTAAAAAAAATCAAAGAGGTGAACAATAAAACTGCAATATAAAAGGCTTTAACTTTTTGGTTCGAAGATCACACTTTTTTGGCGCCATGAACTTCAAAATCATAAAGTGTGAAAATCTTTAAAAAGTCAGAATGTGTTCATTAAAGAGGCGAAAATAACGTGATCCTGATTCCATAAACTGGACGCCCAACTAAACTTATAATGGATTCGTTCGAGGATTATGACCGACATTCGGCTAAACGTGAAAAAAGACTTACTTACTAGTATTTTTTCCGAATGGATTAAGGATCAGATGTTGCTAATACAAATAAGAGTTAATAGGCTAATGGGTTTATAGACAGTTAAACTTCACCTATCTTCAAATGCCTAAATCTTGCTAAACACTTGACCTATCTCCATAACAAGTATGTTGTTATACCCAAAGCCAAACAATATCGTTTTTTGGTAAATCACATACAAAAACTAATTATGCATGAATTTTGTATTGACCATTCCTTATGAAAGAGGGACGAAAGATACCAGAGGGACAGTCAAACTCATAGATCGAAAACAAACTGACAACGTCATGGCCAAAAAAAAACCAAACAAACAGACAAATAATAGTACAGATGACACATCAAAGAAAACTAAAGACTAAGAAACACGAACCCCACCAAAAACTGGGGGTGATCTCAGGTGCTCCGGAAGGGTAAGCAGATCCTGCTCCACATGTGACTATAAAACTCAACCACAATTCCGTCTTCGTTTTTCGATTGTTTAAAAACAAAACAAAAATATCAAAGAAAATACTTTTCGTTACAAAACAATTGAAACCAGGTTGAATGTGTTCAAATAGACGTGAGGGTATTTCGGAATTTTGAATCATCATTGCTCTTCAATTTCGTTCTTCATTTGGCCTCTTAAAATTTTTTTTGCGCGTTGCGCATCTGACGTACTCAATTTTAATCCGGGTATCTATGATGAGTTTGATTATCCTCCCATTTCATATAACTAATAAACTAACCTAAAATATTGTCATTTAAAGTTGTTATATACAAATTTTCAGATACTATTAAGCATATATCGTAATCATGCAATTAAGTAAACTTGAGACAGAAAATGTTTTAAGTCATGCATGAATCAAATAACATCTTGTTTAGCCAATTATTACACAAATGGTAGAAAAACTTACTTTTAAAGAAAAATGATTACATCACAAACACTGTACTTTGATTTAGAAATACTATGTCTCTAATATATGTAGGAAATATATAACAGATAATAAATAAAGTCAAATTAGGAGGATCAATGAAATAAAAAGTCCGACAATGTCAATATTTTGTAGTTGATGGTGGATGGACTAGTTTTGGACCATGGGATGTTTGTTCTAAAACATGTGGTGGAGGTGTACAATTCAGAACTAGAACATGTACTAATCCTCCTCCTGCTCATGGTGGTGATAAATGTCCGGAAAACAGTCAGGAGACCAGATCATGTGAGGAAAAAAAATGTTCTGGTAAGAAAAACTTATAATAAATTTAGGTTTAAATCAAAAATAGTGTTAGCATGTGTTTATTGATTATCTTAACTGTTTATCTTGGGTCAACGTTTTGCGTTAAATATATGTTTGTCTCTTCTTGCCAATGTGCATATCATGATCTACTAATTTCTCCGGCCCATTTTTTTGTCTTAAGTAAAAATTTTAGTAATTTAAAAGTAAAATACATTTGTGTCAATGTTAAGGACCTAACAATATATGTGTCATATAGAACTTGACAATGATGGTTGGTAGATATCTAAATTGTACGCAAACAGATATGATTTTGTTTTTTCCATGGGAAACTACTAGTATCCATTAATGTCTAGTATTATAAAGCAGGGCTAGCAGATGAAACATATATCTCCCAATTGACACAATATTCCAGGAATTGCTTTTACAATCACGAATTTCTTGATAAAGGGTTAACGCTTATGGAAAAGCTACTGCGTCGAAGCTTCCAAATGTTAAATTGAAAGCGTCCCTTGGAACGTTTTACTTGCACCATCATTATTTGGTTGATGGTTATGGGATAACTGTTTAAAAAATTACCTAGGATCTGTTTCACATTAATTATCACAAAACAACCCTCTTTTCTGTGTTTTTTACATTAATGAATGCGACCTTAAACCAATTTTTGTAATGAGTTGGTTGACACAAGTGGACAAGGAACTGCTGGGTTCGTGTTGCTAATATATCGACTATTATATTATTTATTTGTTAGTTTCTCTGTGATGAGTTTTTTTCCGTGTGTTTGTGCTGTATTTCTGTCACGTAGTGTTGTCATTTAAGCGATGTTTATAACATTGCCATATAAGAGGGAGGTTTGGCTAGCCATAAAACCAGGTTCAACCCCCCATTTTTTCTTGAAATGACTAGTACTAAGTCAGGAATATTGCAGTTATTATCAATTAGTTCGTTTCTATGTATGGTTGCCTTTGTTTTTTCATTGCACTTCAGTGTTTCCGTTGTTCCTTTGTTTTCCTCTTATAGTTGATGTGTTTCCCTCGGTTTTAGTTTGTAACCCGGATTTGTTTTCTCTCAATCGATTTATGACTTTTGGACAGCGGTATACTACTATTGCCTTTATTTAGTTGTCTGTGTAATATTTTGTTATTATTGCTTGCGTTTTCGTCGTTTTCTTATAGGCAATTAACTTTTATAATTGGAATTTATTTTTTTATAACCCCTTGGTATCGTCTCTCTTTTTTATTTGATTTTATTTATATGAATCTTGTTTATTTAATGTGAATCTTATTTTTTTTTATGTTGTATTTTGATTATTTGTCTTTTGATCTTTTTTCTCTTTTTGTCATTGCGTTGTCAGTTAATTTTCGACTTACGTTTGAATGTTCGTTTTGTATCTTTAACTTGTCTTTTTGTCTTCTGTATAACTAGTTCATTGTTTGATTTTAAAGCATATGAGTTCAGTTAATAATTACCAGAAGATTGTTTTTTTACTTTAAGTCATATAATACAAGCTTCTGTAACGATGGGGTCAATACTTGATTCAGCCGGATTAGCAAATTCTATATTGGAAACCATTTCCTTTAAAAGAGTGTGATATTAGTAACTTGTAGGAAAAAAAGCATATGTGCTTATATCTATTCAATGTTGTCTCATTTAAAGAGCACATATGTTCGTATTATTCATTAAAATTCTGATCTGGATATGAACTCCTATGATGATAATATATATTTCGAAAAATAATTATCCTTCATCTAAATGAAATGTCTGATGTAAAATATGTATCCCCATTATTAAAGATTTTGTTTTTATATTAAAGGAATGAAGATAATTTGAAAACAAAAATGAGTGTTTCTGTCGTTTTTCTATCGATAAGAAAGAAGAGAACGTCAATAGACTTTTGAAACTAGTGTACCAGACAACTCTTACTATGTAATTGAAAGTGAATTTAAATAAGATTGGTTACAAGAGAACAATTGTCGTAGATAAGAAAATGGGGCTGTTTTCGGTTCTTCTCTATTCACCAGAAACACAATTAAATAAAAGATATGAACAAATTGACACACGTTCATATGAAATCTACAAAATCATCATAGATAACAGGCTTTACATTTTGAACGCCAGACTCGCGTTTCATCTACAAAAGACTCATCAGTAACACTCGAAGTAAACAAAAGTCCAAATAAAGTACGAAGTTGAAAAGCAGTGAGGACCAAATCTTCTGAACAGTTTTGCCAAATACACCAAATTAATCTAGTTTAATAAGAAGATTCATACCCCTGAATGAATGAGTTGCAACCAGTTAGTAAATATGGACTCGAAATTGCTCATATTGCTAATATTTTCATTAGTGCATCAATAAAATAATACCCCTTATCAGTTTTATATTTGCTTTAATGGAGGTTAATGATTTACTGAAAGTTTCTATAATGGGAACAAATAGTTTTACTCCTGTACGTACATAATATGCATACGTCCTAATTAACTCCTGTACGTAAATAATGTGCATTCGTTTTTATATACTCCTGTACGTATATAATGAGGATATGTAAATATTTACTCCTGTAAGTACATAATGCTCATACGTCCTTGTTTACTCCTGTACGTACATAATGAGGATTTGTCCTTATTTACTCCTGTACGTACATAATGTGTATACGTCCTTATTAACTCCTGTACGTACATAGTGTTCATACGTCCTTATTTACTTCTGTAAGTACATAATGAGCATACGTTCTTATTTACTAATGTAAGTACAGAATGTTCATTTGTCTTATTTACTCCTGGTCATACGACCTTAGTCCTGAAGTTTGTTGTCTGACAATTACTTGAGTAAGCCTTCAGCAAATTATTTGACATTCGGAACGATTGTAAGGTAATTTGATTCGAATTTTGACAAATTTCATGTTTGTCTTTCCAAAGTTATGTTATGATAAATTGAAAAGAGCCACATTTAAGGTTTCAACACAAAACCTTTCGTAAAAACAGGCTATAAGATTTCTCAACAATAACATACTGAAGTATAAACCACAGTCTACACAAATGGTAGAAAAACTTACTTTTAAAGATAAATGTTTACATCACAAACACTGTACTTTGATTTAGAAATACTATGTCTCTATGATTTGTAAGAATATATAACATGTGATGAATAAAGTCAAACTAAAAGGATCAATGAAATAAAAAGTCCGACAATGTCAATATTTTGTAGTTGATGGTGGATGGACTAGTTTTGGACCATGGAAAGTATGTTCTAAAACATGTGGTGGAGGTGTACAATACAGAACAAGAACATGTACTAATCCTCCTCCTGCTCATGGTGGTGATAAATGCCCGGAAAACAGTCAGGAGACCAGATCATGTGAGGAACAACAATGTCCTGGTAAGAAAAACTTATTATGAGTTTAGGTTTAAATCCAAAATATTGTTAGCATGTGTTTATTGATTATCTTAACTGTCTATCTTGGACAAACGTTTTTTTGCGTTAAATGTATGTTTGTCTCTTCTTGCCAATGTGCATATCATGATCTACTAATTTTTCGGGCCCACTATTTGTCTTAAGTAGAAATTTTAGTAATTTAAAAGTAAAATACATTTGTGTCAATGTTAAGGACTTAACAATATATGTGTCATTTAGAACTTGACAATGATGGTTGGTAGAGATCTAAATTGTACGCAAACAGATATGATTTTGTTTTTTCCAGAGGAAACTACTAGTATCCATTAATGTCTAGTATTGTAAAGCAGGGCTAGCAGATGAAACGTATATCTCCCAATTGACACAATATTCCAGGAATTGCTTTAATAATCACGAATTTCTTGATAAAGGGTTAACGCTTATGGAAAAGCTACTGCGTCGAAGCTTCCAAATGTTAAATTGAAAGCGTCCCTTGGAAAGTTTTACTTGCACTATCATTATTTGGTTGATGGTTATGGGATAACTGTTTAACAAAGTTACCTAGAATCTGTTTCACATTAATTATCACAAAACAACCCTCTTTTCTGCGTTTTTTACATTAATGAATGCGACCTAAAACCAATTTTTGTAATGAGTTGTAATGACACAAGTGGAGAAGGAACTGCTGGGTTCGTGTTGCTCTATCTTTGGTTGAATAATGTGTTACGTCTTATCGTTTGTAGTCCAAATAATTATTAAATAGCCTTTCAATACCGTCATTATCATGATAATTGTTTGGACTAGTATTGTGAAAATAATTGTATGAATTTCAAGATTATATATTCGTTACAAAAATACGTCACTGTTTGTGATGTTTTGTGCTGTCTGTCTGGAAGATGTTCGTTGTTATTCTGTGGTTTACATGTTGTATCGACTATTATATTAGTTATGTGTTCGTTTCTCTGTGATGAGTGTTCTTGCGTGTGTTTGTGCTGTATTTCTGTCACGTAGTGTTGTCATTTTAGCGATGTTTTTTTTAACATTGCCATATAAGCGGGAGGATTGACTAGCCATAAAACCAGGTTCAACCCACCATTTTTTTTTTTAAATGAACAGTACCAAGTCAGAAATATTGCAGTTATTATCAATTAGTTCGTTTCTATGTATAGTGACCTTTATTTCTGTTGCACTTCAGTGTTTCTGTTGTTCTTTTGTTTTCCTCTTATAGTTGATGTGTCTCCCTCTGTTTTAGTTTGTAACCCGGATTTGTTTTCTCTCAATCGATTTATGACTTTTGGACAGCGGTATACTACTATTGCCTTTATTTAGGTGTCTGTGTAATATTTTGTTATTATTGTTTGCGTTTTCGTCGTTTTCTTATAGGCAATACACTTTTATAATTGGAATTATTTTTTTTTTATAACCCCTTGGTATCGTCTCTCTTTCTTTTTTTTTTTGATTTTATTTATATGAATCTTGTTTATTTAATGTGAATCTTAGTTTTTTTATGTTGTATTTTGATTGCTGTTATTTGTCTTTTGATCTTTTTTCTCTTTTTGTCATTGCGTTGTCAGTTAATTTTCGACTTATGTTTGAATGTTCGTTTGGTATCTTTAACCTGTCTTTTTGTCTCCTGTATAACTAGTTCATCGTTTGATTTTAAAGCATATGAGTTCAGTTAATAATTACCAGAAGATTGTTTTTTTTACTTTAAGTCATATAATACAAGCTTCTGTAACAATGGGTCAATACTAGATTTAGCCGGATTAGCAAATTCTATATTGGAAACCATTTCCTTTAAAAGAGTGTGATATTAGTAATGTCTGCACTTGTATGAAAAAAAGCATATGTGCTTAGATCTATTCAATGTTTTCTCATTTAAAGAGCACATATGTTCGTATTATTCATTAAAATTCTGATCTGGATATGAACTCCTATAATGATAATATATATTTCGAAAAAATAATTATCCTTCATCTAAATGAAATGTCTGAAGTAAAATGTTTATCCTCATTATTAAAGATTTTGTTTTTATATTAAAGGAATGAAGATAATTTGAAAACAAAAATGAGTGTTTCTGTCGTGTTTCTATCGATAAGAAAGAAGAGAACGTCAATAGACTTTTGAAACTAGTGTACCAGACAACTCTAACTATGTAATTGAAAGTGAATTTAAATAAGATTGGTTACAAGAGAAAAATTGTCGTAGATAAGAAAATGGGGTTGTTTTCGGTTCTTCTCTATTCACCAGAAACACAATTAAATAAAAGATATGAACAAATTGACACACGTTCATATGAAATCTACAAAATCATCATAGATAACAGGCTTTACATTTTGAACGCCAGACTCGCGTTTCATCTACAAAAGACTCATTAGTAACACTCGAAGTAAAAAAAAAGGCCAAATAAAGTACGAAGTTAAAAAGTAGTGAGGACCAAATCTTCTGAACAGTTTTGCCTAATACAGCAAATTAATCTAGTTTAATAAGAAGATTCATACCCCTGAATGAATGAGTTGCAACCAGTTAGTAAATATGGACTCGATATTGCTCATTTTGCTAATATTTTCATTAGTGCATCAATAAAATAATACCCCTTATCAGTTTTATATTTGCTTTAATGGAGGTTAATGATTTACTGAAAGTTTCTATAATGGGAACAAATAGTTTTACTCCTGTACGTACATAATATTCATACGTCCTAATCAACTCCTGTACGTACATAATGTGCATTCGTTTTTATTTACTCCTGTACGTATATAATGAGGATATGTAAATATTTACTCCTGTAAGTACATAATGCTCATACGTCCTTGTTTACTCCTGTACGTACATAATGAGGATTTGTCCTTATTTACTCCTGTACGTACATAATGTGTATACGTCCTTATTAACTCCTGTACGTACATAGTGTTCATACGTCCTTATTTATTTCTGTAAGTACATAATGAGCATACGTTCTTATTTACTAATGTAAGTACATAATGTTCATTTGTCTTATTTACTCCTGGTCATACGACCTTAGTCCTGAAGTTTGTTGTCTGACAATTACTTGAGTAAGCCTTCAGCAAATTATTTGACAATCGGAACGATTGTAAGGTTATTTGATTCGAATTTTGACAAATTTCATGTTTGTCTTTCCAAAGTTATGTTATGATAAATTGAAAAGAGCCACATTTAAGGTTTCAACACAAAAGCTTTCGTAAAAACAGGCTATAAGATTTCTCAACAATAACATACTGAAGTATAAACCACAGTCTACACAAATGGTTGAAAAACTTACTTTTAAAGATAAATGTTTACATCACAAACACTGTACTTTGATTTAGAAATACCATGTCTCTATGATTTGTAAGAATATATAACATGTGATGAATAAAGTCAAACTAAAAGGATCAATGAAATAAAAAGTCCGACAATGTCAATATTTTGTAGTTGATGGTGGATGGACTAGTTTTGGACCATGGAAAGTTTGTTCTAAAACATGTGGTGGAGGTGTACAATACAGAACAAGAACATGTACTAATCCTCCTCCTGCTCATGGTGGTGATAAATGTCCGGAAAACAGTCAGGAGACCACATCATGTGAGGAACAACAATGTCCTGGTAAGAAAAACTTATAATGAGTTTAGGTTTAAATCAAAAATATTGTTAGCATGTGTTTATTGATTATCTTAACTGTCTATCTTGGACAAACGTTTTTTTTGCGTTAAATGTATGTTTGTCTCTTCTTGCCAATGTGCATATCATGATCTACTAATTTTTCGGGCCCACTATTTGTCTTACGTAGAAATTTTAGTAATTTAAAAGTAAAATACATTTGTGTCAATGTTAAGGACTTAACAATATATGTGTCATATAGACCTTGACAATAAAGGTTGGTAGAGATCTGAATTGTACGCAAACAGATATGATTTTGTTTTTTCCAGAGGAAACTACTAGTATCCATTAATGTCTAGTATTATAAAGCAGGGCTTGCAGATGAAACGTATATCTCCCAATTGACACAATATTCCAGGAATTGCCTTTACAATCACGAATTTCTTCATAAAGGGTGAACGCTTATTGAAAAGCTACTGCATCGAAGCTTCCAAATGTTAAATTGAAAGCGTCTCTTGGAAAGTTTTACTTGCACCATCATTATTTGGTTGATGGTAATGGGATAACTGTTTAAAAAATTACCTAGGATCTGTTTCACATTAATTATCACAAAACAACCCTCTTTTCTGCGTTTTTTACATTAATGAATGCGACCTTAAACCAATTTTTGTAATGAGTTGGTTGACACAAGTGGAGAAGGAACTGCTGGGTTCGTGTTGCTCTATCTTTAGTTGGATAATGTGTTACGTCTTATCGTTTGTAGTCCAAATAATTATTAAATAGCCTTTCAACACCGTCATTATCATGATAATTGTTTGGACTAGTATTGTGAAAATAATTGTATAAATTTCAAGATTATATATTCGTTACAACAATACGTCACTGTTTGTGATGTTTTGTGCTGTCTGTCTTGAAGATGTTCGTTGTTATTCTGTGGTTTACATGTTGTATCGACTATTATATTATTTATTTGTTCGTTTCTCTGTGATGAGTGTTCTTGCGTGTGTTTGTGCTGTATTTCTGTCACGTAATGTTGTCATTTTAGCGATGTTTTTTTTAACATTGCCATATAAGCAGGAGGTTTGGCTAGCCATAAAACCAGGTTCAACCCACCATTTTTTTCTTGAAATGACCAGTACCAAGTCAGAATATTGCAGTTATTATCAATTAGTTCGTTTCTATGTATATTGACCTTTGTTTCTGTTGCACTTCAGTGTTTCTGTTGTTCCTTTGTTTTCCTCTTATAGTTGATGTGTTTCCCTCGGTTTTAGTTTGTAACCCGGATTTGTTTTCTCTCAATCGATTTATGACTTTTGGACAGCGGTATACTACTATTGCCTTTATTTAGTTGTCTGTGTAATATTTTGTTATTATTCTCTGCGTTTTCGTCGTTTTCTTATAGGCAATAAACTTTTATAATTGGAATTTATTTTTTTTATAACCCCTTGGTATCGTCTCTCTTTTTTATTTGATTTTATTTATGTGAATCTTGTTTTTTTATGTGAATTTTAGTTTTTTTTATGTTGTATTTTGATTGCTGTTATTTGTCTTTTGATCTTTTTTCTCTTTTTGTCATTGCGTTGTCAGTTAATTTTCGACTTACGTTTGAATGTTCGTTTTGTATCTTTAACCTGTCTTTTTGTCTCCTGTACAACTAGTTCATCGTTTGTTTCAAAGCATATGAGTTCAGTTAATAATTAACAGAAGATTGTTTTTTTACTTTAAGTCATATAATACAAGCTTCTGTAACAATGGGTCAATACTAGATTTAGCCGGATTAGCAAATTCTATATTGAATACCATTTCCTTTAAAAGAGTGTGATATTAGTAATGTCTGCACTTGTAGGAAGAAAAGCATATGTGCTTAGATCTTTTCAATTGTTGTCTCATTTAAAGAACACATATGTTCGTATTATTCATTAAAGTTCTGATCTGGATATGAACTCCTATGATGATAATATATGTTTCAAAAAATAATTATTCTTCATTTGAATGAAATGTCTGATGTAAAATATTTATCCCCATTATTAAAGATTTTGTTTTTATATTAAAGAAATGAAGATAATTTGAAAACAAAAATGAGTGTTTCTGTCGTGTTTCTATCGATAAGAAAGAAAAGAACGTCAATAGACTTTTGAAACTAGTGTACCAGACAACTCTAACTATGTAATTGAAAGTGAATTTAAATAAGATTGGTTACAAGAGAACAATTGTCGTAGATAAGAAAATGGGGTTGTTTTCGGTTCTTCTCTATTCACCAGAAACACAATTAAATAAAAGATATGAACAAATTGACACACGTTCATATGAAATCTACAAAATCATCATAGATAACAGGCTTTACATTTTGAACGCCAGACTCGCGTTTCATCTACAAAAGACTCATTAGTAACACTCGAAGTAAAAAAAAGGCCAAATAAAGAACGAAGTTGAAAAGCAGTGAGGACCAAATCTTCTGAAAAGTTTTGCCTAATGCAGCAAATTAATCTAGTTTAATAAGAAGATTCATACACCTGAATGAATGATTTGCAACCAGTTAGTCAATATGGACTCGAAATTGCTGATATTGCTTATATTTTCAGCAGTGCATCAATAAAATAATACCCCTTATCAGTTTTATATTTGCTTTAATGGAGATCAATGATTTACTGAAAGTTTCTATAATGGGGAGAAATAGTTTTACTCCTGTACGTACATAATATTCATACGTCCTAATTAACTTCTGTACGTACATAATGTGCATTCGATCTTATTTACTCCTGTACGTATATAATGAAGATATGTAAATATTTACTCCTGTAAGTACATAATGCTCATACGTCCTTATTTACTCCTGTACGTACATAATGAGGATTTGTCCTTATTTACTCCTGTCCGTACATACTGTGTATACGTCCTCTTTTACTACTGTACCTACATAGTGTTCATACGTCCTTATTTACTCCTGTACGTACATAATGAGCATACGTTCTTATTTACTTATGTAAGTACATAATGTGCATTCGTCCTTATTTACTCCTGGTCATACGTTAGTCCTGAAGTTTGTTGTCTGACAATTACTTGAGTAAGCGCTCAGCAAATTATTTGACATTCGGAATGATTGTAAGGTAATTTGATTCGAATTTTGACAAATTTCATGTTTGTCTTTCCAAAGTTATGTTATGATAAATTGAAAAGAGCCATATTTAAGGTTTCAACACTAAACCTTTCGTAAAACAGGCTATAAGATTTCTCAACAATAACATACTGAAGTAAAAACCACAATCTACACAAATGGTAGAAAAACTTACTTTTAAAGATAAATGTTTACATCACAAACACTGTACTTTGATTTAGAAATACTATGTCTCTATGATTTGTAAGAATATATAACATGTGATGAATAAAGTCAAACTAAAAGGATCAATGAAATAAAAAGTCCGACAATGTCAATGTTTTGTAGTTGATGGTGGATGGACTAGTTTTGGACCATGGAAAGTATGTTCTAAAACATGTGGTGGAGGTGTACAATACAGAACTAGAACATGTACTAATCCTCCTCCTGCTCATGGTGGTGATAAATGTCCGGAAAACAGTCAGGAGACCAGATCATGTGAGGAACAACAATGTCCTGGTAAGAAAAACTTATAATGAGTTTAGGTTTAAATCCATGTGTTTTTTGATTATCTTAACTGTCTATCTTGGGCAAACGTATTTTTTGCGTTAAATATATGTTTGTCTCTTCTTGCCGTTGTGCATACCATCATCTGCTAATTTCCTCGGCCCAACTATTTGTCAGAAGTAGAGATTTTAGCAAAGGAAAATACATTTGTATTAATGTAAAGGACTAAACAATGTATGTGTCATATAAAACATGACAATAAGGGTCGATAGAGATCTAAATTTTACGCAAACATATATGATTTTATGTTTTCCATGGGGAACTATTCATCAATGTCTAGCATTATAAAGCAGCCCTAGCAGATGATGAAATGTATTTCTCTTAATTGACACAATATTCCAGGAATTGCTTTTATTATCAAGAAATATTTGATAAAGGGTTAACGCTTATAGAAAAGCTACTCCATTGAAGCTTCTAATTTTAAAGTTGACAGCATCTCTTGGAAAGTTTTACTTGCACCATCATTATTTTGTTGACGCTTATTACATAACTGTGTCAAAAATTACCTAGGATCTGTTTCATAATAATTATCTCATAACTATCATCTTTTTGCGTTTTTTACATTAATGAATGCGACCTAACACTATTTTTGTAATGAGTTGGTTGACACAAGTGAAAAAGGAACTACTGGGTTCGTGTTGTTCAATCTTTAGTTGTCTGTGTAATATTTTGTTATTGTTGTTTGCGTTATCGTCGTTTTCTTATTGGCAATAAACTTGTATAATTGAACTTTATATTTTTATAACCCCTCAGTGTCGTCTCTCTTTTTTATTTGATTTTATTCATGTGAATTTTGTTTATTTTATGCGAATTTTAGTTTTTTCTATGGTGTGTTGTGAATGCTGTTATTTGTCTTTTGATCTTTTTTCTCTTTTTGTCATGGCGTTGTCAGTTTATTTTCGACTTACGTTTGTATGTTCGTTTGTTATCTTTAACCTCTCTTTTCGTCTCCTGAAACTAGTCCATCGTTTGACTTTAAAGCATATGAGTTTGGTAAATATTAAATAGAAGATTGTTTTTTACTTTAAGTCATATAATACAAACTTCTGTAACAATGGGTCAATGAACTCCTATGGTGATCATATATATTTCGAAAAATAAGTATCCTACATCTGTATGAAATGTTGGATAAAAAAATGTTTAACCCTATTAATAAAGATTTTGTTTTTATATTAACGCAATGAAGATACTTTGAAAACAAAAATGAGTGTTTCTGTCGTTTTTCTACCGATAAGAAAGAAAAGAACGTCAATACACTTTTGAAAATGCAGTCTACCAGATAACTCTAAATATATCAGTAAAAGTGAATTGAAATACGATTGGTTACAAGAGAAAAAATTGGCGTAGATAAGAAAAGGGGGTTGTTTTCGGTTTTTCTCCATTCACCAGCAACCCATCTATAAAATCATCATGGATACCTGGCTTTAAATTTTGTACGCCAGACACGCGTTTCGTCTACAAAAACTCATCAGTAACGCTCAAAGTAAAAAAAGGCCAAAGAAAGTACGAAGTTGAAAACCATTTAGGACCAAAACTTCCTGAAGGTTTTGCCGTAATACGGCAAGTTAATCTTGTTCAATTCGAAGATTCATACACCTGAATGAATGAGTTGTAAACAGTTAATAAATGTGGACTCTAAATTGCTCATATCGCTGATATTTTCAGCAGTACATCAATAAAAAAATACCCCTTATCTGTTTTACATTTGCTTTAATAGAGGTCAATAATTTACTGTAAGTTACTAAAAGCATCATTTATAATGGGGACAAATAGTTTTACTCCTGTACGTAAATAATGTTCATACGTCCTCATTTACTCCTGTACGTACATAATGTGCATTCGTCCGTATTAAATTCCTGTGCGTACATAATGTTCATACGTTCTCGTCGTCTTTTGTTTTAATGTGCGTAAATGTTATTTATATTTTTCATACATTTTGTCAATAGCCATCCTGATGAAATGCATGTAGATCAACTGATATTGATACCATATATACTATTCATATCAAATGGTTTTACTCCTGTACGTACATAATGTGCATTCGTCCTTATTTACTCCTGTACGTACATAATACGCATACGTTCTTATTTATTCCTGTACGTACATAGTGTTCATACGTCCTTTTTAACTTCTGTACGTTCATATTGATCATACTTCCTTATTTACTCATGTAAGTACATAATGTTCATACGTCCTTATTTACTCCTGTACGTACATAATGTTCATGCGTCCTTATTAACCCATGTACGTACATAATTTGCATTCGTCCTTATTTACTCCTGGTCATATGTCCTTAGTCCTGTTGTTTGTTGTCTGGCAATTACTAGAGTAAGCCATCAGCAAATTATTTGACAATCAAAAATGTTGTAAGGTAATCCAATTTGAATTTTGACACATTTCACGTTAGTCTTTCCAAAGTTATGTAATGATAAATTAAAAAGAGCCACATTTAAGGTTTTAACACAAAAACTTTATTAAAAACAGACTATAAGATTTCTCAACACAAACATACTGAAGTATCAACCATTTCCTTCAGAAATGAAGGAGGTTTTTTCTGTCCGTGTCTATTTTCAAGTGATATAAGCGGAGGCATCTGTGTCCTCTGGTCACATTCGCGTCTTCTTTTGTGTTGATGTGCGTAAATGTTCATTATATTTTGCATAAATTTTGTCTGAAGCCTACCCGATGAAATACATGTAGCTTCAACTGACATTGATACCATATATACTATACATATCAAATGTAATCCTTTTACAGTTCATGGTAACTGGACTGATTTTGGACCGTGGGGAGTGTGTTCTAAAACATGTGGTCTTGGAGAGCAATTAAAAACTAGAACATGTACAAATCCATCTCCTGCTTTCGGTGGTGACAAATGTCAGGGGAGCAATCAGATGACAGGATCTTGTGAGATACAAAAATGTCCTGGTAGGAAATCGTTAATATTGATATTCAAATCATTGTTGTCTTATGTATATGATATTGTCACGTTTTAAGGTATTTGGTTATTTATTTGACACATTTTTCGCACAGTGCTATAGATAAATTACAGGAAATATGAGTTGACTGTTGTTCCATCAAATTCAAAGTATTAAAGCTTAGGCAATAATAATAATTTGAAACAGTTTATAGAACTGTAAAACTTTCTTCATAGTTTGCTCTTTGTATTTTATGTGCCTGATATGTTTTTAATCCTGTGATTGTATTTACAGATACACGAAAATGTTGGTAAGTAACTATTCAAAACACATTTCAAGCTGTTTAAACTTCATCATATCAATAAGTACAGCATAATAAGTTGTGTAAATTTGTATAGTTTCTGCCAAACGTTCAGTTTATCCACATCCAAGAAATTTAATATTTTGTTAGACATAAATTGTCTACTCCTTTTTTGCCATTGATCTTCTAGTTATAAAAACACACCTGAAAGGCTACACGGTTCTAGGGAAGTTTAATAGTTTGGCTAACTATTCTTCGAACTAAATTTAAAAGCAATATGTTTCGTCTTATATCAGAAAAGGCTATCTTCTTTGCATGATTTTCAATATGTGCTGACGGTGGGCTAGGTAAGAATTGGAACACAACTATATCGCTCGCCTAAGTATGGTTCAGTTTGTTTTTGTTCCAGCCATTCACATTATCTGACTTCAAACGGAGTTCATTTTGTTTGGTTCTTAGTCTTCCTATATATTGTTTTTTTTTTTACCTAATTACTTATCTTTGTTCCCGGAGATGCTTTAATCCGTCTTGAGTTTAAACTTTGAATCTATTTATAAAGGGCAACAGTAGTAGACCGGTATTCAAATGACATAAATCGATTGAGAGAAAAGAAATCTGGGTAACAAAACAAAACCGAGGGAAACACATCAGCTATAAGAGGAAAACAAAGGAACAACAGGAACACCGAAGTGCAACAAAAACAAACGCCAACACACATAGAAACGAACAATTTGATAACAACTGCCATATTTATGACTTGGTACAGGACATTTTAAGAAAAAAAGGTGGATTGAATCTGGTTTCATGGCATGCCAAACCTCCCGCTTTATGACAATGTTAAAAAGTATCGCTAAAATGACAGCACTACATGACAGAAATACAGCACAAACACACGCAAGAACATTCATAACAGAAACGCACAGAAATTAATATAATAGTCGACACAACATGCACACCACAACTATATCTAACTGATACTATCAAAGATCTGTCATCAAAATCTTCTTCGCTTAATGACAAAAAATGCTAAGCTATAATGAATGAAAATCACTGACGACTAGAGACAGGCACCTGAACATAAGGCGAGGTTAAACAAATAGAAAATAAAGGATTTGGGGTATCCAACCATGACACAAAATCAGTACATGCACAACAAAACAACAAAAAAGCAAAGGAACAGTACTTGGATTGCTGTTCTTCATCTCTAAGTAACAGTGATGCTTTCGAAACGGAGCAAAAACTCTCGACTGACTGCAAGTTTAAGACGGCCCCTAGCACCGGTTTTAGCGGCATTCTTTGCAAACTGACGATCACTCCACAACTGTGAATTGAGGAATAAAGCCGTAGAGTAATATCATTCAAATTAATCTGGAAATCAAAGAAATTAAACATTGAATGTCATAATTTAGCCCACAATCTTTTTTTTTTTTAGTTTGTTTTAGATGGAAACTATTTTAATCTCTATCAGTGCAAACAAAATCATAAAAATGTAAGTTTTTCTGTTTCAAAATATCTTTCTTTATTTAAGGGAAAAAAGAACCGGAAAATGGCACAAGCATCCTTTTAACTTCCACAATCGACAGACCATTATGAGACACTTCATCCCTTTATCTGATTTTTATGGTAGAGATATCTTTTATATAATAGGGAATTCGCATATAAACGAAATTTGAACATTTTGAAAACTAATTGAGATCGACATGGTAGTCATGGTTACCATTTTGAGTTAAGTGATATTTATTCTTGGATTATTTTTTCTATTATCATTATTAATATAAAGGTATTTTGTGACCTTTTCTGAGAAATTACATGATTATAAAGAGAGACATCACTTATAACTGATTATGTTGGTTTTTTGCAAAATACATGGTTTTATGTGAAGTTATTATTATTTCTATTGTTAATTTCATCATATAACTTACATTTTGGAATGATTGTTTAAGTTAGCATTGAAACTGTTTAAACTAACTGTTGAAATTTGAATTAATTCTAAGTGTATAATATACTAGTAGTATGTTATTACACTGTAAACAAAATGACCAGGTTATTGTTTCAAAAAATAAGTTTTCAACAATTTTTTTAATACAATGTATATTTTTAATATTATTAAGGTCTTTCCACTACTTGAGGAAAGACCTTGTTGTTTTTCTAATGTTTTAAGGACTTTCCACTACGTGAAAAAAAGACCTTATTGTTTTTCTTGAAAATAAATCTTTTTTTAAAGGTCTTTCCACTACATGAGGAAAAAAGCTAATTGTTTTTCTAATGTTTTAAGGCCTTTCCACTGTGTGAGGAAAGACCTAATTGTATTTCTAAAAAAAAAATATTTCTTTTTTACATCTTTCCACTACGTGACAATATTTTTTTTTTTTTTTTTCTTCCATTATTTTTTTGACATGGCCTCTCCCCGTTTCTATTGAATTTATCATGACCAAATGTGGACCATCGATAGACCTCATCTTGAAGTATTACTAGATGACCCTGTGTAGGATTTCTTCTTCAACTTTATAAGTTTTCTCCCTTTTATTTTTTTTTTTTTCGACATGCCCCCTCCTTTTAAAGATATCATGACCTTATTTGAACAATAAGTAGATCTCATCATAAAGTATTACCAGATGAGGCTGCGTAGGATTTCATCATCCCCTTTGAAAGTTATATCCCCTTCAAATAGTTTCTTTATATATGCATTTTTCTTCAAAATTATAACAGATAGAATCGATTTGAAAATGGCAACATGTACAGGAAAAAATGCAATGTTTATAAACATAAACAAGTATTTTGTTTATAACCCTTATAAGAGTTTTTTCCCTTAAAATCTTATAGTCGTGGAGATTTGGGATCTTCACAAATAATCTTTAGTTCATGTCATCTTTCATTTGCACCCAAGGTCAAAGGTCATAGAGTGCAAAAAGTTTTTACGTTCAAATGTTAAGCTTACATATTAAGAAAACGATAAGAAATTGCTGCATTCATACAGTATATAAAATGTTCTTCTCGAATAGCTCTATATTTTATACATAAGTATCAAAACTGTCCGACCATCCGTTCGAAAGTTATGACGAGATAATTTCTAAAAGTATAGTATTTTGTGTGTATATTTGAAAAGGTAACAGATATCAACCAACTATATATTGCAAAAATGATCAGTATTTCAAGACCTTCAATTTGAGGTCAATGTCAAGGTCATGATGAAATTTCAACTCGACATTCAAAGTGTTCTATGACCTTTACCTTGTGACAGTTGAAAGGTCAAGTGGTCCTGTGTTAAATGGTGGTTTTGTGACTTTGATGAACTTTGGAATTGTCCCATTTTTTGTGTTACAGTGTTGTACTTCAAATGCCGATCATTTTTCACAAAGCAGATTTGAGATATCTGTTGACCTTTTAGAGATAATGCAGTTTGAAATTTTGCTAGCGGGGGCATGTATTTCTGAAGCAACAACAGCTAGCCACCTGAAATGTTCAGAAATTGAAGAGTTTAACATGGTTAAATGTTTGACTAATTACAAAAAAAACATTCAATGAAAAAAAAAACAAGAAAGCAATTTGAAATGTTCATGTTTTTAATATACAATTGGTATAGCATCATTTTTCGGACTTTGCCAAATGGGGTCATTTGGTATATCAAATTGAACGTCTAAATGAGCTCAACGCAAAAATGAAATTTTGTACCCCCCATTTCATCCCAGTGAGAAGGGTGGGGTCATTAAGTACAACAATCAAAATGTCTAAGATGGTTAGTTTGTCGCATATGAAATGAAAGGTCACATTGTGTACATTTCAAATGTCAGATACCTGTCCCCCAAAAATGAGTTGGATGGGGTTATTAAATGCAAAAATCTAACTTTCTAGAATAGTTTCGTCGCAAGTCTACTTTACAAATATCATACTTCTGATCTCGAAAATTTAGGTGGATAGGGTCATTAAGTGCGAAAAATGAAAAGTTTAAGATGGTATGATTTTCTGGTAATCTTATATTTATTGTCTTATGTTGTTTATCTTAATATTGACTTTTTGTCTAATGTGGTATAATTCGTGTGTGGTCATTTGTTTTTGTCGGATGTATCTTATACTAATTGTCTTGTATGGTTTGTCTTATATAACTTTTAGTTTTATCTGGTAATCTTATATGTATTGTCTTATGTGGTTTTATATAAATAACACATAGCTGAGAGGGTGATAGAGCAGATTGTTACCCGAGAAAACATTGTCAAGTGAGGCGAAGCTAAGGTTTACAATGTCTTTTCGAGGGGTAACAATCTGCTCTATCACCCTTTCAGATATGTGTTATTTAATTTATTATACTGAATGTTCTGTTATTACTGTCGATTAAATTTCAAATTTAAAGTAATAAATATGACGTCTTGTACATAACAATCATCCGTATTTAATAAAGCGCACACTTTATCAAGCGTCTCCGTGAAGGGTAATAGAGTATTTACCATAGAATAGAGTAAATTAACACCCTCGTATAAGCCAATCAAAATCTTGCATTTTTACGTGAAGTATAATAAATCTTAAAATTGACTGTTTGTCTGATGTGGTATTATTCGTGTGTGGTAATATTTATTTTTCTGGTATATCTTATATCTTATGTGGTTTATTTTATATTGACTTTTGTCTTATGTGGTATTATTCGTATGTGGTCATTTGTTTTTGTGGTATATCTTATATTTTATGTGGTGACTTTTGTCTTATGTGGCATTATTCGTGTGTGGTAATCTGATTTTAAGTATATCTTATTTTAATGGTCTTATGTGGTTTATGTTATATTAATGTTCTTATGTGGTTTATCATATGTTGACTTTTGTCTTATGCGGTATTATTGGTGTGTGGTCATTTGTTTTTCTGGTATATCTTAAATGTATTTTCTTATTTGGTTTATCTTGATATTTACTTTTTTATCTTCTGTGGTTTTACTCTTGTGTGGTCATTTGTTTAGTTATTTCAGGTATAAGATCTTATATTTATTGTCTGATATGGTTTATCTTATTATTGACATTTTTGGCTAGATTTTATTAATGTGGTATTGTGTGTGGTGTCCTGATTTTTCTGGTAAACACATATGCATTGTCTAATGTGTAATATCTTTTTCTCTTATGGTTGTGACCTTTAATATATTTTCCGCATAAAGACATGTTTCTCCTATCACACAGAACAGTGTGATATGAATAAATTATTCGAAAAATGCGTTAAATTGAAAAGCCCTTCTGGCTATGTGTTACGAAATTTCAACATTTCCATTGGCTATTCGTCAGGTCAATGGTGACTATTAAATATCTCATTTTCCTCTCAGACACAGAGATTTATAATGATAAATAAACCCATATATTTCAACTGAAAATACTCTTTTTGTGAAAACTAGTCCTTTTTTGAAGCGTACAAAAAGTCAGAAAGCGTATGGTGTTAACAGATGTCTGTGTTCCTCATACAATATTTTCAATACCGTCAGTGCACTTTTATTTGAAGTGGAACTTGTGAAATCGAAAACAATTCATCATGACAAAGACAGGTTTTATCACAGAGAAAAAGGTTTAATAACTTGCAAGAATTGAATATCGCATGATACAAACTCTCGTTATTCAATTTCAATAATATTAATATTCTCGCCAAATCTCGCTAATTATTTTATTGATATTAAATAACTCGAGTTGAAATCAAGCGATATGCAATTCTAGCTCGTGAAGAAAACTATAAATGTTGACTTTTTTGTCTTATTTGGTATCATTTGTGAATATTTAACGTTTTTGGTAAATTGATTCTTCTGCTGATATGTTTACTTTCGTATGTAGAATATTTGCCTATCCTTTAACTGTTTGACTCATATGCCCGTATGTTGCAAGGGAGAGAACAACCTATGTTGTATGTGAAATATCTTGACAGAGATTTTGTTTAAAGTAGCATATCTAGATATAATGATGATGTTTGTCTTAAGTGGTATGTTTTTTTCTCATGTAGTATATCATAAATTTGCAAGATACGATAGTTATAGTATAATATATTTATCATTCTTAACAATAAAATTTTTGGGAAAATACTTTCAGCTTTTTAGTTCTTTGTTTCTGTGAAGCGAACTTAATGGAATACTACTACTATGGATCTCTGTCCACATGCACTAATATCAGTTAAAAATGTACCTATATATCTTTACTTTACACCTTACAATAACTTTCTAAAAAAATCCTTTGATATGATTAACAATTATCAAGAAACTACGGTTTTAACTTCAAGGTGGCTTTACAGATGGATTTGGCTATTCTTTTTAGGTCCCATATGATCATATAGGAACTTAAACATCATTGGTTTTAACAATCTTGGTTTTGATTGTTCCTGTTGAATGTTAACCTAGAAAAGCCTCGTCGGACTCTACAAATTTTATAAAGTTTTATATTTCATTGTGTAATGTAAAGGTATATAGGTTCTTTATCTTACAGCTACTAAAGTGTGCTTGTATCTCCATTGCAGAAATATACCTATTATATTGATTTAGTACAATAACAAAGCAAAATCCTGTTTGGCAGAACTTGTTCCTTTTAATAATGATCGAAAACGCCTTGGTGGTATCGAGCAAATCCTTCCCTCGATAGCTGATGGTGCACGTAATGGTCTCGAACAATGATTATAAAACACACAGCATGAAATGACAAGAGTAAAGGAGTTGTCCTTGAGTCGAAATAATGTGTCTGATTAGATTTGTGTTGGTTTTTGGTAACTTTTTCACCTTCTGAGCT